CATAAGGGTTGCTCACAGTTCGAGTGTGTTATCTTGTTAAAGTTGCCACCTTTTAACTTTAGAAGTAAACTGTGAGTACCCTATATGAAAAATGGGGGTATATGAAAACGATCTCGTAGCCATTGAAAAGAGCTAGCGGTATAAGCCATATAAACTAAAATTCTGGAGACGCATAGATACCTCTGGAAGCATTTACCTAGAATACTGAGATGAGGGATTTTCCAATGGAAATATGTACAGAAAAACGGGCGCGACACCTTCTGGAAAGTAACATGATCACAGGGTGTATCCCTAGAACCATGTTAAGCTAAACCTTGAGGGATTACATTCTTGCCAAGACCGTCAGACAAGCTGAAATTGCATCGCAAGTTTTACGATTGGCTTGGGTAAGGTTTAATTACTTAACCCCCCTTTGTTTTTGCCGCTTCTGAATTCTATAAACTGACAGCTTTCACACAATTTAAAATGTACATATGTATTTAAAAATGTCATGAAAATTGTGTTGCTAGCTTCATGTTGCAAGTTTTTTCACAGCGTGAACAGAATACTTCTTTGCTGAGGAAATGTTTTGGGATTTCACACTTATTTGACAGAAACAAATTTTATATGCGATCTAACAGCTTTTTCACGTGAAACAGGAATAAAATACTATGAAAAGATTTTTAAATCGACAAAAAATTAATAAGAAAATTTGAAGGATTTTAGATATTGGGTATGGTAGCACGAGATGTCACAATCTGTTTAATTGTCAGGTTGTTAATATGGCGACGAAAAAGTGACAATGGAACTACCTTGTTTTTTGTATCATGCACATACATATATGATATTTATATTTTTAATAAAGGATGTACACGTATTAAATTGAAAACTTTAATTATTAAATTCCTTTAAAATCAAGGCATATTCAGCTTCTGTAAGATTAAAAAAATAGAATTATCACGATTTAACTTCCAGATTTCTATATTTGTTTTACGTCCTATTGGACAATTATAAAAAAATTATTTATGCGGTTTTGTAGCCCATTAAATTTTAGTACAAGGAAGTGCAAGTTTGATGTTGCTGAAAAATCCTTTGATTTTTGATATTTTGATGATTTATGTTTTATTAACAACGCCAATCTAGACGTCGTCAAATTAGCGGCCTTTGATATCGTTAACGACAACAGCTGATTTGGCGCTAACGAATGTTGTTAGGGAAACGTTTACTGAATAGCTAAATTGTTAAAATTGTCGTTTAGCTGACTTAGCAATAACAAGAGTTGTTAAAATCGCGTAGTGAAACTTCCCCTTAAAAATCGCTGGCTCGAAATTGGTTTTAGACCCATAGTTTCTTAGGCAAACTTGCTCAGAATGATCCGTAGAGCATTTTCCGCATATGCGATTTTTCCGTTTTTTCGGTCCTATACAAATCGACCCGCTCTAATACATACATGTGTATATATGTTTCTTATGTACCCAATAAACATTGGGCTTGGTTAACAATTTGAGAATGATTGGGAAACTAACACTTTTTTCAAGTCCCACCTTCGATAACGAATGTGGAAAAGGTTAGTATTCGATTCGAGAACTAGGCCATTTTCCAGTAAAACAGAACCCTCGTTATCGAATATATTTTCCCTTCATTCTGAATTCGAAATCCAGCCCATTATCGAATTGAAATTGAAATTTAATGCGAGAGGGTGACTGTCTTATATTTCTCTTCGAGAATGAGCAGGATTCCACTATCTCTCTTGTAGTATTGTTTCCATTTTTTTCGAACCCATCTCGAATGTATTTCCAATATACTATGAACGTTGGAAAACCAAGGTTGGTTATGATTTCGGTCTCAGTCCGATATGCGTACTGGATATCAAGGTAACTTTCGAACGTTCGCCAAAATATTTATAAGGTAGAGTAGAATATGTCAGGATACCCGCTGTAGCCGAGTGGTTAGAGGTGCGAACGACCACTTGGTAGGACCTGGGTTCAATTCTTGATCCGAGCAATATATAACAATAGAAAAGAGTATTATCTAACAGCGGTCAATCTTTGGCAAGCAATAGCAAACCTCCGAGTTCATTTGTGCCATAAACCATTTGCGGTTCGGAGGTAAAATTGAGGGTCCATCCATTTGTGTTATAACATCAAGAGACACACCACAAATTAGAGGATAAGCTCAGCCAAACGCTTAGCAAAAATGTGACCGCAAATGTCTACAAAATATTTACCAACGGTTTAGGATCCCATGTTTTATGTTATTTTAGAGAGATGATGTTCTATAAAGTTTCATACATAAACTTATTCCATTAGTATATAAAAAAGTTCTAGTATGCGCAACCATAGCAGGATACTGATTGGCAATTAAGTTACGCAATTAGACTTCTTCTGCAAAATATGTATGCTGTGTATTAATACGCTTAGGAATACATCCATATATTTCAGGTTTGCAATACTAGGTTCTTTACTAAGTAATCAGCAAAATGTAATAAATCTCACCAATTACCATGAGTTGCTGCAAGTGATATCAACTGTATTAAACATTTCTTCGAATGCGATGACTTGGCGCAGTATACGCCGAAGTTTGATAGCAATTTTATTTTTTGAAAAGGAGCAGATTTCAAGCCTCAATAAAGTTTATGTCAGTGATTGTACGGAGACATGGAACAAAATTGTAAATTTCTTAATTTCCGAGTCATCTGAGAACAATATTATTATAATGGAAAAACAACTACTTTTGCAAGCTTTAATAAAGCATGGCAAGCTATCGTCAGAAGCGAGTAACAATTTAATCCAATCTATTATAACTAATAGCATTCTGAGGCGTGCCGAAGCGTTTGAAACTATACGTCAAATTTTAATAAATTCTGATATTTGTGGAGTGGACAAAAATTCCAGCACCATTGAAAGGATTATAAATTGGGCCTATGAGGTAAACGATAAAATCAATGCCAGGAGCATGTTACTTAATATCGCCCCAGTCAACATTACGCTGATAAACGACACATGCGCGATTGCAGTTATAAATTTCCTAGATGAGCAGCAAATATTTTCATCGACCGCTTATCGAGATGAAATACAAAGACAATCGTATGATCTAAACATGCTTCAATACAAATACAACATAAAATTTGTTTGCCTGGAGGACCACGGAAAAATTTTGAATTCAATATCGAAATTGGCCCACCCAATGAACGCGTTGTCCAAATCATTGAATAATTGTTTGTTTCAGAATACTTATGAATTACTGATGCGTACAGTAAATTTGGAAATTTCAAAAGAAACCTCCTGTGCCAGTATTATTTCAGACCTGACATCCTTGTATAAATTAGCAGACTTGTCGAAAGCGTTGCTGTACTATAAAGTGTTTACAAAAGAAAATTTAGCACAGTGTCCACTAATTAAGCGTGTTGGATTTTTCCTTAGCCATATGGAGGTCAGTTTTGCCTACATAATGATAAAATAACCAGGGGATTCTTAATACTTTGTTTTTTTTTTTATTGGTTTCTTTATTCCTGCAGTTTCAATTGAAAAGCAATGATCCCCGAATTATAGAACAAACAGAATTATTGGAAATTCTGCAACATTTAGAAGCGTTTATAAAAGCTTTTACTTCCAGTCAGGTATTGATACAGTTTTTAGAGACACAGCCGCTAGAGGAACTGGTTAACTTTTTGGGAGCAAGTTTACTGCATAGCGGTATGTTATGTAATTGAGCTTGTTTTCCATATTTGTTATTTCTACTTTTTTACAGCTTCTCAGCACCAGCGAAGTAAAAGCAGCGACTGGGCCGATGTTCGTTTTACATCGCTGCGTATTCTCGCTGAACTATGTGCTAGTAATACTCACCAAAAAGATGCCTTCCATCATATATGCCGATATGTATTCAACATTCGTAACGATTTAGATATTCTTCTCCCACTCATAAAAGTACATACATTTATTTAAGAGCCTACCGCTATTAAGATCCGATTGTAATACTTCATGATTTCAGATATTTTGTACTCAAAAAAGTAAGTGCGAGGCCGAAAACTGTCAGATAGGTGTATGGTTCGTAGACAAATTAAAACTAATTTTCCGATTGTACCACATGGACCACAAAATCATTGATACGCTAGTTGAAATGCTCCCAGGTGAAGATTTACGCCATTGATTAATATATAATTTTCTACGATAAATTCTTTTTGTTTACAGAAATCTTCGAGTATGTGTACTCAAATACTGAGCTTTTAGAAAATATGTTCGTAGCGTTAACATCTTTACTTAAAATCGCTTACAAAAAGAACTATTCTACAAAAATAGCGAGCAATTTGATGAAAACTGTTCGACTGATCTCACGGCATTGCGATGGAATCTGGACAAAAGAAGGATTTAGAAATATTTGCAAATCTGTGATAAAGTTTTTGTCCTTTCCATCTCTCCGAATTCAATTTTCTGTGATAAGCACAATAACATCACTAATGGATGCCAATTGGCTGAAGAGTACAACATCATCATTTTATATTCAGGAGCATCACAAAATGTGTCAGGAGCTTTTCGCTGTCATAAACTGGAAAAATTTAACAGTATGTTGGAAAAAAAGTCACACACATTTCCTAAATATTATGTATATACCCAAATAAATTGTGTTATAGGACTCCACCACAGATCTGGCACAAAATCGAAGTTCAGTAGTAATGCAGCTCTTAGTGGCTCTTATTGCCTTCAGCTCCTATTATCAAGAAAATGCCTTAAAGGAGTTGGCAAATTTGTATGCTTCAAAGAAACTAACAGAAGGTGAAAATAGAAGCTTTAAGTACTAATCATTGCTAGACGAGTAATATTCGTTTGATTGAACGAAAATCTATTGCAGCCGACTTGAACGAGTTTACACAAGTTTGTGATTTTTTTGGCTGTTCGCGATCGCAGTTGACAAAGCCGTATATTAATAGCTTAATAACAGCTTGGATAGCTAATAATTGGCCAATTTTTAAGTACGCTTTGTTTCTTGTTCTTTGTTGTGATTGTTAACATAAAAATTATACTTTTAGATTTCCATTTTTTCTATGTTATGCAAGCAAAGACGAATTCATTATGCAAAATATTGCGATGATTGCGGCGTGTACTCTGTTATATGTCGCAAAGGCCGATTTCAAGAAACTAAACAAATATGCAACGGACGAAGAAATTTTGAAGGTACTGATTGAAATTTTTTTGCAGAAATCATGTTTTATTATCATCAAAGACGAATAAGAGCGTGTCAGACGTGACAATATTTCCCACTTTTCCACGCATTCCGCTGTCAAATTGCGAAAGAGAAATTTTATTTCCATGTGTGAACAGCCACAAAGACCTTCCTGTCACTTTTCGGAAATCAATTTCAGAAATTAAAGTTGCATGGTGTGACTGCAACTGAAAGAGCTCAATTCGATTTCGCAAATTTATTTCAGCTTGCTCGTGCTACACTAGCAGTTTTTATTTCTGCTGAAATTGCTGTCAAACTAATCGAGTGTTGCCGTGTGGCGGTGATCGGGAGTTTGTGAGAAATAATAATGAACAATTAAAAAAAATATCAGTAATGCTTTTAGTTAGTTATTTTGCGGAATTTAATTGATTATTTTCTTGATAAATCTTTACAAGCTTTGTTTTTTGCTGCAGCTGCTTCAAAAAATATTTATTCTTTGGACAAAGATGACTTAACCCTTAATTAAGCGCATAAAGAAAATGACACAAATGACACACATGGGGCCCCTTATTGAAAATGTAATGAACGTAAAAAGGCTGAAATATTACTATGTTCCTTCTTAACAGAACGTAATTTAGCATTTTCGACAACCGACCACTTAACCAAATGTCGACAAGAAAAAAGAAATGTTAAAAATCAACGCGATTCTTTAGCACCTTAAAACTTGCACATTATTGGCCTGGAATTTGATGGGCTACCAACCTGCATACTCAAAAAAATTCTACAAAAATCTGAATAAAAAGTTCAAAATCTAGCTGAAATTTTGCAGATTTTTTATGATTTTTGCACAAATTTTGAAATGTGGATTTATATTTTGTTTGTTATATAATGAGCTAGGCTTTTATGGAAAAATAATAAACAAAAAAGAAACAGGCAAAATCGTGACTTAATCAGCTGATCACAAGTGTATGCATAAAATGATTTTTATATTTACGATCTCAAACCAGTTTAGAATGAATTTTAAATGTGACAGAGCAAATGACATTTTAATATACCTTACGTACGTACATATAGACCTTTGTATACAATAAAAGTTTAATAAGAACAATTCTTTGTGCATACATTTGAAAAAGACGTTTTTGGGTAGGAAATTACGTTTTTTCAGTCCAAACATATAAAAAAATTGTAAAAGGCCGATGTTTTTATACAATAGATATTAAAGAAAAATTAATATAGGGGGTTTTTATTAGAGCAACATAAGACTTTTTGTCTGACTGTCTATCTGTCTGTCTCTATGTTTGTACGCGCATCACTCGAAAACTAATGCCTGAAATTAAATGCATTAAAATAGCATAAGCAACACTTTTTTGCTTTTTGAAGCAAGCAGCCCTTGATCATTTTCAATGCATATGCAATTGCTTCGCTGTGACTTAAGAAAAGTAAAGCAGCGACAGCAAACAGCAAATGCGAAAGGAGACATGAAATCATTTGCTTTTGCTTACATCGCAGCATGATTCAATAATACAAGGTTAGATAATTATTGACAGCCTTACAAAAGGTTGCATTTACGAAGGACGGAGAAAGGGGAGGAATGAAATCTCTTGGTGTGAAAATGGTAGTAGAAAAGTAATCAATTAGTAGTGAAATTCCTTTTGTAAATTCTAATGTATTTCCAGGAAATCTGGCATTTTAAACGAAATATTGAACGTAATATTGTTATATCTATGTGAGTAACGTAATGTATGTGCTATTTAGCTGTATAAAAACTGCAAAAAGACTCAAAATTAAAATAAAACTACTATAAGATTGATGTAAACATCCAATTTAAAAACAATTTATGTTTTTATCAGTTAAATAGGCTTCATATGCATATACAAATAAGCATATTGCACAAAAGCTTATACTTCTATTTCACACCAAAGCTACACTTTTTCCAAGCAAATTTGCAAAGAAGCAACACCGTGCCGCTGCTAAGGGAGCGGTGCGAGAGAGACAACTGTCAGTTTATCGAACCTTGTATTATTGAATCATGACATCGCAGTTTGGTTTTGCTTACACAGTGAGCCGAAGCAAACCAGTTTAGAAAAATTTGCTGTTGCTGCAAGCAGTAAGTTTGGGGTAGTTTTATTCTTGCTTTTGCTTATCTTCCTTGATTCGTTATTCTGGCGAGTACTTTCACACATAAATGCATTTGTATGGTTGTACGTACATACATACATATGTATGTTTGTACATATGTACATACACTGCCGGAACAAAGTATTGGCACAGCAAATTTTTCACAATATTCAACAATTTTCATTCTAATGTTTTTCCGCTGATTTCATTAAAATGTAGTTCATTCTACAATAAAAAACATAAAAATATAACTCCTAAACTTTCTGCAAAACTCGCGAAAATTCAGCAAATTTTCAACTTTTTAATCAGATTTTTTAGATTTTTTTTGAGTATGTAGATTTGTAGCCCAATTAAATATTATAATAAAGCACAAGTTTTAAGTAGCTAGGAATTACCGTTGATTTTTGGCAATTTTTTTTCACGCAGTCTCTTCCATACAAAAAAATTTGTTCGAAAATACTTTATATGGAAAAAATACAAAACACCTTCAACAGAAAAAATTCTCAAAAATCAACGCGATTTTTGACTAACTTTCTTTTACGAGAATTTAGTGGGCTGCAAAACTGCATACTCGAAAAAATTCTAAAAAATCTTATTAAAAGGTGAAAATTTTGATGAAAATTTGCTGAATTTTCGCGAGTTTTGCACAAAGTTTAGGAATTTTATTTTTATATTTTTTTTTTTGTTGAATGAACCATATTTTTATACAAAATTGGCGGTATGTATATATGGTATGTACATATATACGCTCAATCCATTATATCTGCATACACCCTTATTTGTTTTTTAAATATTCACAATGTTTTGCAAGCTATATTTCTTTTGTTATTTTTGTACATATATATGGTGCCTGCTGTTAAAAAAAAAAACATATAAATCAAAGTTTCAAACTGTATACAAAATTAAGGAAAATTTGACGAATTTTCATAAAAATTTTAAAATTTGTACGCGGATTTAAAAAAATTGTATGCAGCTTTATAGCCCATTCAATTTTTGTACAACAATGTACAAATTTGAGGTAGCTAAGAAATCGCGGTGATTTGTAATAATTTTTTTTTGTTGACGGCTCTAGGCATTTTTCTCCATACAAGGTATGAGCAATTTTTTTTGTATATGGAGGAACATACGTCGAGCTGTCAGCAAAAAAAAAATTATTAAAATCAAAGCCTTTTGAATTAAATAAATAATCATAAATAAAACTCAATAATAATTATTATCTCTGAGCGAAAAATAAAAAAATAAATATTATTTGTGATCGAAAAAATAAAAATCAAATAATAATCATTTCCGTTTTAAACTATTTTACTCATAATGATTGCCGGCCCTGATTTGTACATTATTGTACTAAAATTGAATGGGCTATAAAACTGCATACCAGAATATTTTTTTTGAATCTGAGTAAATTAAATTAAATTAAAAATCCTATTACTATTTAAGGAATGACTGCAAAGTTTACATATAGCTTTGTCATCATTAAAATCGAAATAATTTTCAATATTTTTCCTGTTTGCACGCGGTGCATTATTTTAAATCTTTATAAAATGAATAAGTCCGCACCGATGGATGACAATAGCAACAAGCAACAACTGATACGCGCAGCCAAATTTTCAAATTTTGCTTAAACAGTTGCTTTCGACTGCGAGAATAATACAGCAAGGCAAAGAAGCAAAAGCAAAAATGAGAGTACATAAAACTCACTGCTTGCAGTGATTTCATGTCTCATTTGCTTCTGCTTACATCGGAGTTTGTTTTTGCTTAGACAGTCAGCCGAAGCAAACAGTTCAGAAAAATTTGCTGTTACTGCAAGCAGTGAGTTTTATGTACTCTCATTTTTGCTTTTGCTTCTTTGCCTTGCTGTATTTCAGTCATTGTTCGTCCATGGAGCAACTCCTTGCAGCCGGATTGCTCCGCATCCTTCTTCTCCGGGCGGGCGTAGAGCCCAAGCCCGGACCAGAAACGAATTTCTGCTGTGTTTGCCAGAATCGACTCCATCCAAACTCCACTTCGGTTAGGTGCAACTCATGCAACGGATGGAGTCACCTAAGAACCTGCTCTGGTCTTAGGTCTCATCGGGAGTGGACCACAAGCTATGTGACTCCCTGCTGCTCAAGCCAAACGGCACAATCAGCCTCCACGGCTACCCGCTCGCGCAACGCACCCAGCACCCGAAGAGACTGCACGGCTCCGAGAAGCTCCTCTGGGCAGCAGCGAACCTCCCAACCCGACGACGACGCCCCCACCAGGATTATGGGTAGCTGCAGCAGCTCGCCAGACCTAACAATTGCTAGCGCTGGTTTGATCAATAGCATCTCATGGCGACCTATGCTAACACTAGCATCAGACCATCTACCCATAGTCATCTCGATCAATAAGCCCACCGACTTTGCTCTCGCGGACCACCGAACCTATACCAACTTCAACAAAGCTGATTGGGACGGCTTCGCGGAAGTCACCGAGAGCAGCTTCGCCGCCCTTCCCACACCCACAAACATACACACTGGCGAACGCCAGTTCCGCAGGGTAGTCACTGCCGCAGCGGCTCGCTTCATCCCGTCCGGACGCATCGCGGAAGTCCGCCCAAATTTCCCGGCCGAAGCAGCTGTACTAGCAAACGAGCGTGACCACCTACGCCAGGTCGACCCCGGGGACCCCCGTCTGAGGGACCTTAATTTGGAGATTCGGCAACTGGTAAATCAGCATAAGCGGAAAAAGTGGGAGGAGCACTTGAAGGCCTGTAACTTCACATCTGGTGTGAGTAAGCTCTGGTCAACCGTGACGTCCCTGTCCAACCCAACGGAGCGTGATGACAGAGTGGAAATCTCTTTCGAAGGTCGCGCTTCGTCGGACCCGAAGAAATGTGCAGCCTACTTTAGTAGGCAATTCACACTGCACC